TACTTTGACTTTCAATTTTTTTTATAAAATTTAGAAAAATGAGAAAATTTTGAGTAATAAAGAGAAATGTGAGAGGTCTTATATAAAGTTAGATTAATAAAACATTTTATGTAAATATTTTATCCATAATTTTTTAATATAATTTAAAATATTGTTGTTTTTTCTGTTTTATCATGTAGATTAATATAAAATTTTTTTTATTCATATTAAAAAATGGAAGACAAAATAATGAGGTCGTAAAAATAGTGAGATGAAAAAAATAATTTATAAACTATAGTTATAAACATAACAGTTGTAATAATAATAATAATAATCACATTAAAAATATATCTTTTTTAGAGTAATTGGTTGGGAAGTAGAAAGAGTTTGAAGAAAATGATAATAGTTGGAAGAAACTGAAAGAAACTAGAAAAAACTGAAAGAAACTGGAAGAAACTGAAGAAACTGGAACAAGCTGGAAGTAAAGAGTTTAAGCGCTAAAGAACAGGCTCTTAATTGTCTTCATAAAACTTCTTTCAGATTTTAGACACCATATTATTATTTTTAGATTTCAAAAAACGGGCTTTTAACGCAAATTATATTATACATCCGGCTGTGCCTAGAGATAGGTACAGCCTGCGTGTACAGCCGACGTTTAATAGGGGCGAAAGGGAAGAAATCGTGCGGATCTGTGATGCTGTGCAGATCGATGATGATGATGATCGATGATAATGTGAAGATTTGTTCTTCCGTTCGATTTTGGGATGATGGGTGATGATGATGATGAAGGAAGACCAGATTTGTTCTTCCGTTCAATTTTGGGATGATAGGTGATGATGATGAAGAAGGAAGACCAGGTTCTGCAGAATTGAAGAAGATTTTGGGATCAGAGGTTAGGCATGAACTGTGGTAATTAGTTGAAGAATGAGTACTAAGTTGTGTGGAGATGAGTACTACTAGGTTTTACAATGTGTATTAGATTATTTGTAAATAAATATTGTACGAATGTGTGAAAATGAGTACTACGTCTTTTCAGAATGAGTAAATGATTTTCAAAATTAATGCTTATATTGATGCGAGAATAAATACTACGTTACTTCAGAATGAGTACCCAGAATGAGTACCGAATGTACCTATCTCTATGTACATCCGGATATACCAATACACTCTGGCCTTTTAGTCATTTGCGGAGTACAATATTAATATACGAGCAATGCTAGGGGTACACCAAAGGTGTATCTCAAATGTACACCACCCTCTTGCCCACCACACATTTTATTTAATTTTTATTTACTTATTTATTTTAATTTTTTGTCTTTTTTAGTGGATAAGGAGGGTGTGGGTACATATGGGGTACACCAATGGTAATGGTGTACTCTTAATATACACTCTCGCCTTTTAATCATTTGCGGAGTACAATATTAATGAGCCCTGTCTCATTCTCCTCTTGTGCATGCTCTCTTTTTCTTCCTTCCGAACAGCCCATACCTTGATTTCTCCATCTCCCAATTTCCCATCGGCATCTCCAAGCACGCAGAAGGTATGTCCCTCCGTGTCTCTTCTTTTATTTCTTCTTCAATGGCGCTGTGATGTAGATGGACCGCGATTAGGACTGAGCCCTAGGTGAGGTTGCGACTGGATGTTTCCTGGGGTGCCGGAAATTATGGAGGTTTTTTTGTCGGTCAGCAATTGCAGATTTTTTCTATTTCTTTAATCTTCAGATTTCGTTCTCCTTTTTGATTAATTAGCAATTATGTATAACTCGTAGAGGCTAAAAAAACCTGATGAAGACGATGATGCAGAAGATCTAAGATGGCTGTAGTAAAGTTAGGGTTATCGCTCATGCCTCATGGCTAGGTTGCCTTGTTGCGTATATTTTTTGTAAAGTTACAGAGGCACGCCATTTATGCCTCGCAATTTAAAACATTGGTTTTGGGAACCCAAAATGCATTCGTGTGCCTCTCACTGTTGTAAATCTAACACGTTACGTAATGTTCATGCAAGTGCTAGATCTTGTTTATACTGACATTCTTTTCATTCATTTGTAATTTCATCCTGAATCTAGCAGTGTCTTTGCCTTCTCAGATGGCTGCTGATCCCTCACACCATGATACTGGAAATCTAAAAACAACAGAGGGTGGCGGCAGTTGGTATTTCTCTAGGAGAGAAATTGAAGAAAATTCTCCTTCTACACGAGATGGCATTGATTCGATGAAGGAAACATACTTGCGCAGATCATATTGTGCATTCTTGCAAAAATTGGGCGAGGAACTGAAAGTGTAAGTTTTCAACTTCTGTATTTTCGCATTTACTATTCCCAATATCTCAAAGCTAATTTGGTTAATGTGGTGTTTTATCTTAGAGAGGCTGGTCTTAAGGCTCAAGGAATAATCTTTTGAGGCTGGTCTTAAGGGCCCTATTAAAATGTGTAGTTATTTTAATGACACTGTTCCACATAACTGCACAATTAAGAGTCATAAAATATCAAAAAGTTCATGCATGTTCTGTAGAAGTGTCAAATATAATTCAACTAGTGATAAAAATTAAAATTCTAGCTTCTGTGGTTAGAACTGTACAGATTTTTTAGATATAAGATGTCTTATCTTCCAATTCACCATGACATCTTAAGATTTTTTATACCCTTCATAATAGTAGCCTTATCATTATCTCCTCCATTTGCAATATCAGTTTTTTTACTTTTCTTGTTTATCCAAAGCATATATTTCTTTTCCTATTCTTCTTCACCACTATTTTTATTGCTTGAGATCTCCTCTGATTGAATCCGAGTTCCTTCCGATTTCCCTTTTAAATGTATCCATTATTATCTCCTGTAAGCCATTCATCACGCATTGTCAGCTCATGGTCCAACTGACTTTCTCATTGAATTCTTCTAATTTCAGCTTTAATTGCCTATCGTTCAATCCTTTTTTGTATATCACATAGAGCAAATTCATCCTTGTAGTGGTGAAGCAGCTTCTTTTCGTTGTCTATACTTGATTAAATCTTCTTCAACTTTGAACACAACACGATGATAAAAAAAGTAAGGCTGGGCTTTTGGATTGCAAGTTTTGGTATCTCTGAAGTGTCATCGTCACCTTAGCTGGGATTGACATGCTGCTGCTGATGGGAGTGCCCATCTCCAAATTAGAGAATTCACCATCTCTAAAAATTATGTGTTCTAAGTTTTTGCGAAGTGTCATTTTCAACAAAAGTATCAGATGTACATGTTTTCAAATTTTTTCTTGTTGTTGAGGGGTATCATCTACAAAATGATTCTTCAAGTATTTTTATGTTTTATGTTTTTTTTTGGGGGGGGGGGGTCATCTCCACAATTTCACATGTTTAGAATCATAGTTTGCATTGATGTTTTAATTAAATGAAGTGTGATTTCTTGTTTTTTATTTTATTTTGGTGTAGTTTTACAATATTGATCTATGTGTTAATAACCACCAATTCTACATTGGATTTTGCATTAAAACGATCCAGATGAAAGTTAGTGATAGTGGTGAAGTGTATCCTACAATGGCTCCCGCCCTTTGTAGGTTAGGGGGTCGGATGTACGAATAAATCATAGAGCATATGTTTCCAGATGATCCATGATGAGCATAAAAAATTGCATTGACTAATTGGTACTCTACTTTTAAAAGTAGCGCAAACAATCTAAAGAGTCATTTTGCTTTATTCCATCACACCCAAAGTCAAAAAATAGTGAATCTTTGGCCATAGATGATGGAAAATGCATTATTATATAGGCACACACACATATACATATACATATACATATACATATGCATATACATATACATATACATATACATATACATATACATATACATATACACACACATGCGCACACACACATATAGCTGTGTGTGTGTAGAATGGGTAATCTTACACCAATTTATTGGTGTTAGATTGTTACACCAATTCAATTGGAGCAACTACGGTGGTCCAATCGTAAAATGGATTGTTCCCTTAATGCACCCCTGCACCCCCTCCGATTGCACCACCCAATTCTTTGTTGACTTTGGTGTCAAATTTTTTTACCAAAATTAGGGTGGTGCAATTGGAGGGGTGCAATAGGGACATGATGGTTAAGAGAGGTAGGAACAATAAATTTCCGTAGGTGCTTCATTTGAATTGGTGTCTTACACCCAATAAATTGGTGTAATATTACCCCTTCTCATGTGTGATTGTGTGTGTGTGTGGATGTGTGTGTATATATGAAAAAAATTGTGAGAGATCCATAGTTTGTAAGGCGTCGCCTAGGCGATAAGGCACTGTCACTGGTCGCCTTGTCTGCTCGCCTCGCCTAGAAACCCTTAAGGCGACCAGGCGCTCGCCAAGGTGTCGCCTTTCCTCGCCTTAATTCGCCTTACCTCGCCTTGATGCCTTGGGCCCCTTTAAAATTTTGAAAAAACCCATTTTTCAGTGCAACCCATTTTCTTTTAGTGTAGCCTAATAGACTTAAACCTATCTTCTCTCTCTCTCTTGGTCTTCTATGTCTCGATCAAGCTTCCTTAAAATGTATATGACCTATATATACATACATACATGTATGTATGTATATATATATATACATATACATATACATATATATATATATAAATATATATATATATGTATGTATATATGTGTGTGTGTGTGTGTATATATATATATATATATATATATATGTAGGCGTGTATGTCGCCTAGGCGTGCGCCTAGTCGCCTAGGCGATATGAAGGTACATTGGCGCCTCGCCTCGCCTCGCCTTGCCGCCTTACAAACTATGGAGATCAATCAAAAAAATAGATCAAAGAAAGGAAAACTTAGGGCAGAGCCAAATCTTCAAAATAAGAACAAAAAAAAGAAATGAAAAAATAGAGCAGGTCACACGAGGAAAAGGAAAAAGAAAAAAAACAAAAAAGTGTCGCTCTAGTGACTAGACGTACCTGCCCCTAACAGGTACTTAGAAGTAGTCATCTACACCAAGAAAAACGGAAAGAGACTATATATGCATATCCAGTAAGGCACTAAGTTTAGAGTAGTTCAAAATAGTAATCTTTTAGTCTGTTTTTAAATTTATTAGTTGAATCAGTTAAAGTTTCCAAATAGGTTGTTTGCTTGGTATTAATATTGTTGTTTAGGGGCCATATTTTCTCAACTTTTACTTGACATAATTTCTCAATAATGCGGAACTTGGCCAAAATTCCTTTTAAGTAGGACCAGAGGGAGTAATTTACTTTCCAAACATGCACACTATATTTTGGGATATAATATTCATGCACAAAGCTTTACAAGTCTTGTGAGTGTAATTGTGGTGGTTGATGTCTTGACTTGCAGGCCTCAGGTGACCATTGCTACTGCAATTTTATTTTGTCAACGTTTCTTTCTTCGTCAATCTCATGCCAAAAATGATAGGAGGGTAAGTGATATTTTTATATGTCAACCGAACTTTTGTTAATTGTTGAAAGTTCAAACAGTACTCATCTGTATTATGTATATCTAGAATCTACACTGCATCATGTATATCTACACATAAGTCACATCCTCTATGAAAATTTCACAAGAATGTGTTGTCATATGATTACTTTGTTTTGTCCTTGTACTCTACTTACAATAGATGATACTAGGGGGTTATTGTCAAGATGGACAGCTCTAGCAAAAGATTTGAACCATGATCAGGTTCACATAAACAAGTTGAAAGTGTTCTCTTAACTTCGTAAAGTAATGATACCAGTGTGCTACTAATCCTACTATATCATGTCACGGCAATGGCGCTAGTAATGTTTAGCTTTGCGAGAAACCACACATTTTATGCTAGTGATGAATTTACAGTGTGAGGTGGAACCGTACTTTATGTTGCAAAGGACAAACAATATCTAAGAAAATAAAATCAAAGCAATATAATTGCTTCGTAGGGTTCACTCCATTTTCTCCATCGGAAAAAGCTGGGCAGATCGGTGCACCAACACTCATCCTCACAACTTCATTTTCTCCAGTATCAATTGATGAAAACATTTGAGGTATAACTTGACAAGTATCATGCATCTACTCTTTTTTTCCTCTAACCATTCTCTCTTTATTGCTCAGTCCTCGCATTCTAGTCTAACTAATGTCTTGGCTCCCTTTTAAAACAATTATACTCCCTCTGACCCTTATTATATTTGCTATTTCTTTTTTTCATATCCTAAAACAATGTTCGCTTATCTAATTTGAGCACTATTAACTTTTACCTTTTATAATTCACCCTTTCTCACACACACACACACTTATTTGAAATGATATGACACTACTGGTTGGTTCCATTTGAAGGACAAGTGAATTATATTTGACTTCTTTTCCTTAAAAACTAAACAAAAAGAAAAGCAACATTGTATTTTTAGTATGTAGGGTGTAACATATTCATTTGTATCATACTCGCGTATTCATTTGTGTTGTCTGTTGGCCTCTTGCTGTTTACTCTGCTTGTCTGTCTTTAGATACTCATACAACAACAACATTACCCCATTGCCTCAAAGGCTCCCGCCCATTGCAGGGTGGGGGGTTGGATGCACGCAACCTGACCCCTATGTTAAAACATAGAGCGGCTGTTTCCCAGTGACCCATGATGAGCGTCGAAAGTTGCATTGACTAACTAATACTCCACTATCAAAAGAAGCACAAATAGTTTAAGAGCTATTTTGCTTTATTCCATCTTACTCTTAAGCCAAATGATAGTGAATATTTGGCATTTTGGCTCCATTGGAGAAGATGGAAATCGGCTTTAGATACTCATATACGCATATTTTTTCAAATAAGATTCTTCGAGGGCTATAACATTTAACACTTCACAATGTTCATCGTTTGGAAGCATTACTTGTTATGTTTTGGAAAAAAGTGTCACGACTGTTTAAAAGTGTTTCTTTACTTCTGCATTTTTCGCCTTAACAAGATTGGGTACATTTATTGAAAAAGCCACTCATTTGCCATTATTTGGCATCATTACACGTGCTTGGTGAAGTTGTCGCTGATGCACAAGTTGCGATAGTCTGTTTTTTATTTAAATAATTGTATCAAGCCGCTTAAAACTAAAAGTACTTTGCTTTCTTTGAGTTTAAGTATCAGAAACAGTGTTCCGTATGTGTGTGTGTGGTGAACTAGTCATTGCAACCCCAACACTATTCTAGATAATTATCCTTGAAAACCCTTCAAACTTGAGGAAATTCTAAATCTTAAGTTTTGTTATGTGAAGAAGGGATAAGATAATTATGAAATTGGATAAAAGGATTTTTAAATTCAAAATTGAAGAGATGTGACTTTTAGAATGGTAAAGCAATCAAACATTGCTAGTTCTTTGTACCCATTCATTGAAGTCACATCTGTTGTAATCAAACTCTAAGTTGTAATGTGGTGCACTATAAATTGTGCATGTTTGCTACACTTCTAGAGGTGAAGATGAAGA